CACACACTAATAAAAAGAACTTTGCAAAACAAATAGTGACAATTGCTGAATGATTTAAAATAAATATTTAAAATGAAACAGAAAAATGTTATTTCAGTTTTCCTGCTGGACTAAACAAGTATGACAGTTTTGACATATTTTGTCAAATATGTGCACAGGTATCATTTTTGAGACCTACTATACCTAATGTTTTGACAACTATTGGCCAATGTGATAATTCAGGTGAAGTATAAAATCTCTGATGCATCCACTGGAGTTTAGAGGTTTAGAAGCACTGAGCTCAGAAAAGTCTGTGGCATCATACAAGAAGACTTTAGGGAAGTGAAGCAATTTCAAACATATGAAGGATTTTCTCTGATGCTCAGTTTTCAGCTTTTTTCCATTTTCTAAATGTGAATCGTAAAGTGTTCAGAGTCAGCAGGTGAAGTCGGGTTTCTCTAATCCTAATGTGGATCATGTCACCTGGTTTCTAGGTTTCATGACAGGTCAGAGGTCAGCGACTGTAACTCAGTTAGTTCTGTTAATGTGAACTCACTGAGTGTTTGTGCTTCAACTCTCAGACTGACTGAGGATGATGATGGAGGAAGAGGAGGACAGAGCAGAGTCTGCAGCATCCAGCTGTGCGCCTATGAGGAGTGAGCTGTCCAAAGGAAAAATCTAGACTTCAGTAATGAACCTGGACCCACAGGCACAAAGTAAGGAACAGTTTCTGCTGTAAGACTGACGACGACGATGATGATGATGATGATGATGATGATGATCTGGTTTACTATGGAGCAGGTTCAGGCAGTTAGTGGATGCATTTCAGCTGCTGTTCTCTCATCCTCCCTCAGTCTGTAGGAACAAACCAACACTGTTAGAATTTGATCTTTATCTTATCAGTGCAGCCTATTGGTTTATTTTTTATTGTTTGAACTTGTTGCTAGAGAAACACCATGAACTTGAGTATACATTAGAAAGAGTGAAGAACACAGACATCAGTCAGTATCAGTCCTCCTGTCCTGCTCTGTTGGACCATCCAAGCCAAGCTGGAACATCAATATTTAAGCTGTGTGTAAACATACAC